AAAAAAAAAAAAAACAAATTGCAACACCGCAGACTACATAAAAAGATAAGAATATGAATAAATTTTTCATTCAGACCAGAAGTCATAGGGCATAGACTCTTCGACTTCACGGAGACACTGAGTTCACCCGCGAAAAATATGAAGTCAAGGTAACAACACAAAGAAATGTGAATAACTACTTACGTCTACACCTCGGCACGGTTGTTTTTCCCGCTCTTTATCTCTAGTTCGCTCACGATCGTTTTGCCGCCAGAGTGCATCAAATTGCTCACTGATACTGCTACCGGACCGGAAGCTTTGTGGAGAGAAGTCTACGTCAGGACTATCCTCAAGCCCAGACAAATCGAGGTTGTGTTCCAAAGAGGCGTGTATGGTCGGAGATGCCACCACTTGCGACTCCCCCTGCAAGCACAATTCAGTACGGTCAAACTACACATTTGATCTATTTCCTTCCAAAGCATGAAAAGGCCACACAAGTTGTAAAAAAGATAAGTGATACTTGCGAGGTATTGGCGAAAGAAGGTCATAAAAAGCTAGTAAATTTTCCACAACCGAATCACCCATGAACGTGAAAGCCTTACTTTTCTCATTTCAGAGTTTTTCTTCTCAAAATTCTTATAAACATTACATCGCTCAATACCGCGAATTTCCGTCCTCACACGTGTCATAGCTACTGACTTCAAATGGTATAACCTGAGTAAAATTACTCAAACATCTTACAGGTTTAGGTTTAGGAGGAGGAAGGGTGATTCTCCGCTTACGACCTTTCTGTTGCAAGAGAAGGTAGTACGTTGCCGTCAGATAGTCGAATTTCCACTCCTGGAAGAGGAAGGAAAAGTACTTGTGAAAGACTAATGTGAAAACTAGTTCGAGACTCGGACGCTTAGTAACAGCCATCAAATATCAGAGGAAGCTGTGAGCGCGAGAAAACAAAATTCAACCAAAGCGATGGGTAAAAGATAAGGATTGAGAGTGAACAGAAGCCTTCCAACCTTAATCAGAGCAATCATCTCGACAAGTGACTTCCTATGGTGGAACGCCAATTCCGTAGCAACCTCTTCATCAACAACATTTTTCTGAAGATAGATTTTCAAGCTGAACCGATAATTATTAGATCTACTAATGATCAATGGGCTGATCTAGGTGAATGGATAATAAGCTTAAAAAAAAACTCCTCGGAAAATTCAAACTTTACATCGTAAATACTAGTCCATTTCAACTTCTGACTATATTTGTAATTAATCCAGGGATGGTCCAACAGTTGTTGGACTGTTATACGATACTGAGGATTGACCTGAATATTTAATGTTAAATATTTGAAATTTACCTGCAAGAATATTAGACGTACCTGTAACATGCTACGTAACAATGCTTTGCTACTTGGGCTTAACCATTCTGGCTCAGGATATTGTCCTCTCTGAAAACCGAAGCTAACCTTTCCACAACGAAAACAGATCGAGTGGGAGAGAACAAAGTAGAGTGATATTTATGGTATTGGTGAACATTTGCATCCTAATCACTGCATTGACTGACAGAACGTACCGCTATTTTACGATAAAGAAGTTGCATAGACTCGTCTTCAAACGGCAGCGAACCACAAAGAAGTGCATATAACAGTACACCCATTGACCAGATATCTGCTTCATTTCCGAGATATGCTTTACCCTTGAAAGGATTCATCTGCGATATTTCTGAAGTCGCAAGCAGCAAAAAAGAAAAAAAAACAAGATAAAAAAGATCTTTCAAAGACAACGTAAACGGTTTCTATCTTACAGGAAATTATGCATTACAAAAACAGCTATACTCATTAACACTCATCAAAAAACTTCGACCAACCGCAATAAGTTCAGGAGCAGCATAAGCAGGAGAACCACAACAGGTGTCAAGTGGACGTGAAAGTGAACATGGTTTTGCACATAAGCCAAAATCTATCACTTTCAGATGCAGGTCTTCAGTCAAGAGGAGATTCTCCTGAAGAGAAAAATGAATAAATGCAGTTCGCTACGAAAACAAAGGAGCGAATTAGTGCCACATGGTCGATCAGGTAATTTCTCGCTGCTTTGCCTAGACGTCCAACGAGTTTTCGTTGAACTTAGGAAGGGGACAACTATTCGAAATTTGTTTTTTAAATAAACCATAATTGTCTCACATTTGACCATTTGAATACAACTGGCAAAACCATCAGAAAAGTCAGGGTCATAACAAAATGGAAAAAGAATAGAGAGCGGAGATATTTTGCTAGGCTCAGAGCTAGTTTCTGCGCAAAGTTGAGAAGTGCTAGTTACTAACGCAAAATGGGTCAGGGTAATGGGGAAAAGAACAGACTGGCACCCATAAGAGGAATTTGAAGACGGGTTTCATATTTATTTCGTGTCACATATTGCCTATTGCACAGGTAGCAATCAAAGCATAGGAACTATAAATTTCGTATCGTCCCATGATTCCTTACCGGTTTAAGGTCTCGGTGTGCGTAACCCATTGAATGCACGTAGGCCATAGCTTGTACAAGTTGACGAAAAAAGTGGCGTGCTTCAGATTCTTCGAGACGCTCTTTTCTCACGATATAGTCAAACATCTCGCCTCCACTACAGTACTGAAATGATTCATATTTTGTTTAACAGAAAAGTTCAACGAAAAATCCAAGGAGATCAAGGTCCTCGCCTCCATGACGATAAAAAATTTATCTTCAGTGTCAATAAATTGATATAGTCGACAAATGTTCTGATGCGATAGAGTTTTAAGAGCATCTAACTCAGTAGTAACTCTTGGCAAATCATCCTGAACAACATTTACTTAAATCTAAGCATAAATAAAGAATATATCAAACCTGAAAGAATTAAACCCAAGACCTACACCGATCGCCTTTTTGTCAATTATTTTGATAGCAACTTTGAGACCAGTTAACAAGTGAGTGGCTAGCTTGACTTTGCCGAAGCCTAAAACAGAGCCTCAGGAGGCCGAATGAACGTAGTGGAAATAAAGGATAAAAACTTATTGGAATACAGTATCCAATCATAATCGTACCTCCTGATCCGAGTTCATCATGTACTGAGTAAAGGCCCTCCAGCGCAGGGTACGACATCTAGTAAAAACCCACGCCGCGAGGCTGGGGTCCGTTCTGAAAGCAAGAAAAAAAATTAGATAACAACCTATTTCCAGTTAGTGCTATAAATACTCCGGATTTCTCTAGAATAGCCTTGTACATTGGTTTTCTCTTGAGAAATTCAAATAAAGGAGTAAATCAGTTGACAGAGTCAGGCAGCAGAACTGACGCTACACTAGAACTCACTACTTTAAAGCCGGAATGTAAGAGAAGCGCTCATTCCTTATGCACAGTATGGTGATTCTTAACAAAAACAATATTCCCATTCAATTGAAATTAGGGAAATCACAATTCTACTACCGTTCAAAAGACTCATAATTTCATGTCTTTGATTTTTCAAGCCCATCTTATTCAAACTAAATCCATCGAATGCTCAGGTTCTTCACATCCTGATGAAGCACCTTGATATATAATAGTGGAGGTACTGCAGGTACCCCTTACGGAGCTGATAAATGAACTCTTTAAGAGATATTGAAAGTCTCAAGAAAGCCCTGTAATGCTAGAAGCTGGAGCTCTTTGAAACGATATCTTTTTTGCGACAGATTATAGCTGGCAATAGATTCTTTAGAGGCAATAAGCAATATAGTCCCGTTGGGTCAGAAGATGATAAGAGCCTTCTAAATCATCAACTCAACAAATTTGCAGGAACTGCTCTGGGGGCCTATCATTCTTCGAATTATAGAGATGAATCAAAGATGATGGTTCAAAATACTTGTATTACTGAGAAAACTTGGATGACATAGCAACGCGACTATCTGTCAGCACGATAACCAGTTAGAGGGCTTTTGTTTACCTAGATTCTATCAGATATCGTGCTGACTCTGACAATCTGATAAAACTTTTTGAAAAGGTCTGCTCTCCATTCTAACCAGAGAGCAACGAAGGGGATACCACTAGCTACTGGAATGGGATTGATCGTTCGATCGAGTAAATAGTACCAATCAGCAATTGCAACACGAAAATGAAGGGAACTAAAGGGAACTACAGCTGGAACTCCAAAACTTCAATATAGTGGCTGATGGTACTGATCATGAGCAAGACAATCACTTTCGGGAGGGACACTTGGCGGAAGCTATTGCCTGGACGACACAAACCACTAGTTTTCTGAAAATGACACACAGGGATAAAACCAATTTCTTAATGTAAACAACATATAGCGCATTCATTCACTTTTAATGATCAAAATGGAAAAAGGCTGTAACCCATACTCATGAATAAAGACGCCAATACCAGAAACAAGTTCATATTCATGTACAGCTCAGTCATTCAACTCATTTATATAAGATATCAGCAAAACTGATCCTGATCAATCCTGGGGCTGTATAAACGAAGCGATTGGATAATTCAAAGAAATATCGGATTATTAAAACAAGCATCAAAATAGGGAGTTCAGGTCAAGGGTATTACTTAACTCAACCACGATAACCTCCAAAAAAATTATGGCCATCAAGAGTAACTTCTGCAGTTCGTCTTTTGAAAATGCAACTTTCGCGCGTTGTGAGATTCTGATTGGAGCGCTTCAACTACGCACCGAGTTCATTAATGAAGTACCGGGTTTCCTTCCATTATCGCTGGTGAAATGCACTGGTTTACATGAACCGAGGGATACGAAACATGGTCTTTTGGAGACTTCCAGAGAAGCTTCCTTAGTAACTCGTTAGCTAGAAGAATCGAAACAGAGGTGACCCAAAGGGTTTTTTCATAACCGGAATCTCAAGTTTCTCCACAAGGATCGTTGAACCTCACTCATCAGCTGATTGGATATATTCGACATCAAGTAAAAAGGATATATGCGAATCTAGTGGAAATCCATGTACACATACAGGTCAACGAGGTGACTCAATTGCAAAAGAACCCCTATAAGAGGAGTAGTGGCTTGTCTATCGTAATATAGAGGGCGATGCCTGTCCATCGAAGGATTCGTTTCCCACAGGATTTAGTGACAGTTTCAAGAATGCAATATTGATTGATAAGTTGGACAGACCAGCTCGTCGTGACCGCGTATCGATTCTATTCATAGCCTGGTTCTATCAATGCTGGAGGGAAGCAGGTTTGTAGCAGTTTTGCTGGTTGGCCTTAATCATGCCAGAAGGTCCTGCCACATACGAAGAGTAAGGTATGCGTCTCAACGAAGCAGAATGAAACAAGCAGAAAGACTAAGCAAACACCGGCCGATGTGATCTGACCTTCCAATGTCATTCAAACAGCATTAGCCTCATTCGTTGAGGAGGTCACATCACGGGCGTTTTTCTCTACAGTGATCCCCAACAATTACATAGAACTAGTATTCGTGCAGCAATTTGTATTGCAAAACTACTCATTGTGTGTTCGGCAGAAAACCACCAACAGACGACCGTCATTGAAGTAGTCCTTGAAGTCCCTACAATATGCCCACCGGGACTTTTCCTGACTGCGTTTTATGAGGACTATCGGAAGCTTTTAGCCCATGACAGTCATTTTCATTAAAGGCAGTTTGTTGAAAGGACCTCTTGTAGAAATATGAGATTACCGTAACATGCTCGAACTACCACACAAGCATCTGCCTTTCGGTGCATAGGGCAACGTATTACTGTATAGTTCAAAGGTGTCTCTGAAAAAAGACAACACAGCATTTGTCATCTCATAAGTATATTTAAAAAAGATCCAAATTCTCAGATTCTCGTCGGTGAGGCTGTGAAGATCGTTTTTACGAGGGCGCGAATTTACTAGTTACTTTCCAGTAAGTTACACCGAAGACAGTATGTCCTGTAGGACAGTTGCTGAACTACCTCGCCTAGTTCATCGGTCATACTGTATGGTTTTAGGGAAGACAGAGGTTTTCGGTAAACATAACATTTAGCTCACCCTAATTTCGTAATGGTTAGGTGGTTTCTAGGGCGACGGCACGATCTTTACAACTTCTTCATACCTCTTCCAACACATTGAACATCATGCCCTCTCCGAAAGCTGAGAATCATTCACCTAGGAATACTGAAATCCCACCATTTCGTTTTCTTCCACTCTTGGACACATAAGAATACAAAAATAGAAGAAATTCCGCATGAGATTGCTTCTGGATATAATGAGTAGAATTTTGAAGTCTGAAGGAATTCCTGGAACAGTAATCCCGTCTACACGTCCAGGTAAGCACCTCACTCACTGCCTCAATGTCTTCAGTCGGAACCCCCCTCATCACATCTCATATGAAGGGCTTTCAACGCGTATCAGGTCCTATTTAGTTTCATGACGTGTGATTACTGTATGACTTCGGACTGCAAAATCTGTCTTGTCAGGGAGCATGACTATGCAGCAGCTACAGTGAATGGCATAGAGGTAAGCGCTGGAAAAGCACTAGCAAGTCGGTAAAGTCAAACCTCGTAAAAGCCGGTCAAGTCACCCACTCAGTCAGCTGATACCATTTCCTAGACACATACAGCTTATAAGTGAATCTGCGGTAACTGTCAGCCAGCATACTGACCTCTTCTGAATAAAAGCATTCTGCCTGTACACTTCATTTGCTTCCACCGTGAGGTATCGCCTTGGTAAAAAACATCTTTTACCACAAACTCGTAGAGTACATTCGAAATATTTATTGTCATGTAAATAAATTACACTGCTAAGGCTACAATACGAGGTCGTCCATCGTCTGTTTTAACATATCATCAACATATTGATCAACTCCTTTTACCGGCTCATTGCTTTCGGTCATCAGTTTGATTGAGCCTGAAAACAAATTAAGTAAAACCAAAAGGATCGAACATGAAAGGCATTGGAGAGTTTCTCAAGAACGCGCCACGCACACCTCCATACAAATAGCCCAGTCGCATGATTGCATGCACCTATGGGCTGTCTTTCGGAGGCGAGCCAGTAAAAATGAAGATCTGGTCGTTCGACTGAACTTTCAACGATCAGCCGATGCTGAAGGATATAGCTCGGATCTTTGCACGCGCGCTTGGTTCCTAAGACTTGAGAGCGGTAACAGCGCCTCTTATCAGTCGACCACCTCGCAAACAACTTACGTAGCGTGCATAGACTACTTTACTGCTGCATTATTATTGGCTATTTATTGATTTACTGCTTAACCAATGTCAGTTACGACATTACACTCCTTTCTGGCACTAGCCTACGACAACCGCAACGCATCCGTTCGCCAGAGTGGTAAAAATTTCGCACAACAGTTTAGAAGCCGTGCAATAATTCTTTTAACGCTACTTACCGAAAGAAACTCGACGTCCTCGATTATGTGAGACAGATAAACCAGTATTCGGCCTGATATCGCCGTTCTTTGAAAGAGCCGACTCGGCGAGGCAATTTGGCGGCTGTGGTCGTTTTGGTCGTGGTGGTTCCAGACTTAGGAGATCGGAAAGACTGTTGAACGGACCATCTGAAACAAGATGAGCCCAAATAAAAACATCAAAAAAATGAAAGAAAACAGTTCGAAAATAAAACATCAGTAACTGATCTTACAATCAGAGCAAAGGCTGGAACTCTAGTACGCTATTGAACAAGCAAACTCATATAGCTCTTGTAAAGTACCTGGTAACAACTTCTTCAGGTCGACATTGTGAATCTGATCGTGGTCTCGGAATGCCACCTTACCATATTCGCAAGCTGTGCCCATGAACAGTGCAAGATCGAATACCCGAGCTGGATGTGGTGGATCGAAGAAAGACGTTCCGTATGGTATTATTTCGATCTGTAATGAAGGTAATGACGCAGATGAAGAGAGAGTCAAGCCGGTTATTAGGAAGCCCCGAAACCTATACTTGGCATTTCTGTAGATGAGCCTATTCCATAAGGGAATATTCGGGAGTACTTATCAATTAGGACCTCCTCAATGCTTCATTTTACCCTTGGTGCTTTTATGAGAGTGAGAGCGTTATTTGCAAAGAATTAGCAACGGTAAGGCCTGAAGATGCGCTCTAAAGGGTTGACCACACCGCACACTGTCTTGACCTTTTTCAAGTGTAGTTGGAAAAGCAAAAGTAGTGGTGAGATTAGGGATGATGATTGGAGAGCCCGTTCTGGGCGTTACCGTACTCTTCAAACCTCTAAATTTAAAACCCAAAGAGAAAGGGGTTCCTGGATTCTAGATTGCCCCGAAACGAATACTCCTAGACTTACTGAGTACTGAAGGAATTGATGCTCATCCAGATGATTCAACATGTTCTTCAGTGCTACTGCCACATAGGGCCAAAGAAGTTTAGTAGGAGCTTGGGCTTGCTCCTCTTCTAGCTCATCCACACATACTCGAGCCGCTAACTCGATTTCACTTTGAGACGTCCGTTCCACATGTAAACGAACCTGAAAGGGAACTTTGACAATGCGACGCTGAACATAGCGAATAATGAAGAACTTTGAATGCGAAAGTTTTTTTTAAGCCCTGTAAAGGAGTGAAATCGCATTCTTACTCAAAGGGTTTACTTCGGCGATTCAGCGTTGGGTTGAAAGCGGCACTTCGCTTAGTATCTACTGTTTATCCCAATCGAAACCAAAGAACTCAAACCCAAATCCGAAGCGATGCAAAGCCACAACAGGCAATGCATAAGGGATTATCCATGTGCACTTCGTGGATAATACCGAGGATCAACAGACGTGCTAGTTTCTAATAACCAGCAGAACGAAATTACGTGATTTGTCCGCTATCTCCCTTATTATTTTGATGTAACCCATCACCCGAACGAATCGTTGGCAAGGCACAATTGAATACCATTAGATACCAAGCCCATATAACGTCGATTGACCACCAAGCGTTTTTTTTTGATATTCATAGGAACAGGTTTGATTTTTTGTATCTTAGCAAACTGCACAAAACCCTTCATCACTCTGGTAAACGTGAAGAGCTACAAAGCTCTTGGTATAAATTCAAGAGCCAACGAAATTCTGAAGACAGAAACTGAAGCATATTATTATCTTCACTGGCCTGAAAGTTTGTATTTGGATTGAAAAACCTGAAGAGAGGCAAGAGGAGAGCAATTGCGGTAGGGGATGAAAGCATGTGACCCAGAAAGCCAAGTGTGACTTTAAGCCCACCGAGGCTAAACAAGCTGCCCATAGCTCGATAATGATGTCTGCAACTGCAGAGGAAAGGAAAGGAGCAGTCTACAAAAAAAAACATCCAAATGACAATGTAGTGGGTTCCCAGTGAACAGCCGAATGCCCGTGCGTCTTGTAGCCCACAGCCGCGTGCTTGTGCGAACGGTTTGTTTGGTTTTCATCCTGGCGCGCTACTTCTAGTCAACCGAAACCCTGGTCGCGTCAAAAAAACTGATTTGTAAACAAATGAATAGAAAACAAGCCACCAGAAGCCTGAAGTCTTTTTGTCGCTGCTTATTAGGCACTGTGCGACGACTAACGTCGCAAAATTGAATTAATTTGATAGTTATTTATCAAAACAGCTTGGCGATCGTATCGAAGTACTTACCGGCTCCGTAGTAAGTAATATTCCATCTGTCCATTCATAGGACGTATTCATATAGGGTTTTATCGATCGGCACATTTCCACGAAAGTAGACTGATCTGGTGCAGCCAGTGGGAACTGTAGTCGTAGAAGCACCTGTACCTCCATGTCGAGAGGTACTGGTGTCCAGTGGAGTACCTGAACACAAGAATAGCCGTCAGTGTACACGAGTGCTCAAAGTGAAGGTGAATTTCTCATTTGATCGAGCTCACCGGGGGTTTATTTGCAATAGAACGATCACTGCTATCATCTACAGCAAGCTGTACCATTTCATTGAAAAATGAATCCATTATGGGCTAAAATTTAAGAATTTTCGTGAATGTACCGTATATCACAAGAAGTACCTTCCGAAAGTGCAAAAGGATGACAAAAATAGCCTGACCATATCAAGAAATTTAAACACCAAATAAGCCATACCCTTTCAAACAAGTAATGAAAATTAATCAAATTGTAACTGGATGTTCATGAGAAGTAAAATGCCCATTCTTTACATATAATACCAAGCTTGTCGAGAAGGAGCTCACTTTAATATCGTCTTCAAGAGAGAACGTGGTATAGGTGAGTGCAGGGATTGTCTGCCATCGCCTTAGCTGCTCCATTCGGTCGTTTTTCCATGCTGAACCAGCCGGAAGACGGCTTAAAAACGAAAGAAAGATAAAGATTTCGCCATCAGTGAAAGCAATGGATGCGAGTGTCTTCAGATCCAACGATTTGAGGACAACTGAAGGCGAAGAACAAAGAGCCACCATCCAGCCACACCAAAGAGCTACCACCTAGCCACGAAGAGCCATCGGATGGCTTTCTTTAACAGTTTTCCCGTTAAAATCTCTCGAACAGCTCCAAGTGCATATCGTACAAGCAGTGACCTAGGTCAGCTAGTAAGTACCCGAATAGGTCTGATTTTATTCCCCATTATTGTTACCCTCAGCTGAACTCAATAATACCTTCGAATCATGTACAATATGTACCCTTTAAGCCCTTTTGCCATTCCCACACAATCCCCCAGACTCTTGCATTCAATGAACTAAAACGAGTATTTCAAAGCCGTACAAGCCGTTCTACTTGCCGCGATCTTGAATCCCACTACAAGCCCTGACGCCAGTTGAATTGAAGGGGTTTGATTAAGAAAAAGGATGGACCCAACCGAATGTATGTGGAGGGATTTGATGCCACAACGGGAGCCGCTGCTGTGCCGACCCCGATCACAGCCGTTATGCTGTCTCCCTACTTAAGGCGTTACATTTACCCCTACATTCTACAGAGCGAGACATAATAATATAAGCTCTAGTCAGCTGCTGCAGCAAAGAGATTGCACGAAAAACCAATCAAGACAGAATAACTCACGCAATTTTCTGGGAAAAGCGTTGATTCTCTTCATGAGCTCGTCGGAACTCGGCTCGAACAGATTCGTCAAGTTGGTCATTATCCGCGTCGCTCCATCTCCTCTTGATCACAGCGAATTTCAGCTTCTTCTCTGCCTGAAAAAAATTATTAAAGAGTATCACTGCGAGCAAGCTAAAGCCAAGCTGTAAAAATGGAAACCTCGAACTGTCTTTAAAGTTTGCAGAAACTTAGTACTGGGACTGGGACTGTGCAAAGAAGGCTAGCTAGTCAAAAGCTGCCAGATGAAAATGGAAAAGAAGGTGAAAGCTTCTGGCACGTGCCCGGCGACTGCAGGGACAATGCTTGGATGGCGGTGGCACAAGGGTGGCAAGTAAGCCGCAACATAAGCAGAGTAAGGGGTAAAAATATCACCAGTATGTTTTTAAAGGTCACCATTTTACAATGGGGCAGTAGGACAATTTCGGAAGAAAGGGTTTCATGTACTAGCGCTCAGGGACAGGAAAGATGTGGAGAGGTGTGTTAAGTGTAAATAATAAATGGATACTTGACAATAAAATACTTTGAAAGGTGGCGGACTTGGCAGAAAAAAAGTTGAGAAGTCGTCAATATGGAAGCCAAAGCACTAGCCACTCAATCTACCGCGTAGTACCATGAACCTAGAACTCAAAACCACGAAACCAATTGGCCTCTCTACTTGGATGAGCCACTATTCAGATACCCACTGGTTCTTCTATATTTACTGGATGTTTTCAGATACTTGAATTTCGCTAAAAATCGTGAACTTCAATAGCTTACTGGATCAACTCCAATGGCTTCCCTGATTTTCAGTAACACCAGTGGTAATGAGCCAATGTTTGAAGTTGTTTTTGTTATGTGTGATCAGTGCCATGCAGAGGAAGCTATACTTTTCAAAAGATGTTCGAGTTCCCGCTACCTTCGTCAGGTGTACAAACGTGGGCGAAATTGACAGCCATCGCACCGATGAAACTGCGATGGGATTCAAAAACATAATCCAATTCATCGATTCCCTCGTATTTTCTCATAAATCCTGATTGGAAGGTAAAATGAGCAACAGAGTCAAGGCTCAGTATAAGGGTCAAAGGGACGATCTGCAGTTATTTTACCGAAGTTTCACATTAGAGACAATTTCTTGCGGTCCGGAAAGATGCAAAAGGGAAGGCTGTCATGAAATCCAAGGAAAAATCTCTGACTGAAAATAAAAAAGAATGGACGGATGGATGGCCGGGCGATTCGTTTCCAAAATCTGTGAGCAGAAAATGATGAGTGGAATGAGATACAGTGCCAAAAATCCAGCAAGTTCCACCGGTAGCTCGGACACTCGAAAGGAGAAAATGTGCACGAGAGCTGCCGTCATCCTTTCAAAAAGCTCAAGTCCAGATTTCTAGAACATTTCAGAAGGAATCGGAGCTTGCACGTAGCACCGTGTTGGGGAAAGATAGTACTTTTATTATCATACCTTATCAATAGGTATGGGTGTGTGTTCCATTCGAGTATGGTTCATTCTTTCTGTAAACTAAAGGACTACACCGGTCTTTGGAGGTTACAACGGAATCGGAGATCGTACCGAAGCAGGTGAGGTGCAACTGGATCGGTTCAAGTCGATTTCTTCGCCTGTTTGAATTGAGCAAACATCTGAGAGGAGTAGAAACCTTTCCAACTGCTTTGAAAAGCAGTGGAAGAGTTTCTCGTTCCCCAATTTCAGTAACTTCTATTTACGATTTCAATTTGAATTCCGCCCCTATTGAGGTTATTTATCCAGTGTTCTCTGAGTACATATAATAGCTTGAACGCAACCTGTTCTTTATCCATCATCAAAGAGTGACAGTACCGACGGTCAAAATTGACAGAAAGTTAATCAGGTTTGTGATGAAAGTGTAATTGGGAAGGGGCGAGCGCGGAGAAGGAGGGGTAATCGACTTTGCAACACTACAATCGATCTTTAAAACGTTTCTTAACTGAAAAGTATAGTTTTTTACCTGAGCCTCATAAGGGAAGGAGGGAGCTCCGGAGTGGGTGAGCCACTTCAATGTTCAATTCTTCTTCCATACCAGCTTTTCTATCAAACAATCATCTCATCTACCCCGGAGCTCCTTCACTCTCAAAGTTCAGGTAAAAACTATAGAATTCCAGCTGAAAACCGTCTATGAGCACAAGTAAGGTATGGTTGTGTGCGTATGGGTGTAGCGTGTGTGTGTATTTGTGTGTGTAGCATGTTGACTCGAACCCTCGAGCGCCGAACCATTGACTTTTAAAGGCATAGTTAACGATAAAAAATCACTTTTGAATATCCCGCTAGAATGAATTTGTAGGACACCCGCATGCCGTATGTGGCACTGTCGTACTTGAAAGCGGCCTAGATAAGGCGATATAAAGGCTCAAATATTGTACCGTGTGTATCCTCGGACGAGTTCCACCGGCATTATAAGGGTTGCACCAATCACAAGGAAGCCAATGTAGGGAGATTAAACAATTTGTCATGACCAATAGCAACAGTGAAAGGTAGTTCTGAACAGTTCTTGCTTGATGTAGCCAGCTCTTTGTGCAATTGCAACAACTGAAATCTCGTCCGAATATAGCTTTCATGCTACTTCCGTCATTGGTAATCTCGTCCATCCTCTACAATTCCTTCCTTTGAGGAACCTTACTTTTCTCGAAATTGGCGAACTTTCTCGCTCTCTTCACTACCAAAGAACTACTTCCAACGCTACACTTCCACTTTTCAATAAAAAAGAGGTACCTCGAAATTCTCGGTGGACTGTAGCTCCAAGAAAATGCCAACATGAAAACGTACGTACTCTAGCTCTTTCTCACTTTCTCGAATGGAACATGTTTGCTGAACATTTGAGCTTACAAAGCTATTGATATGGGGTTTACTACATAACATTCCGCTGTATCCAAGCAACAGTCGATGTACTTCCATCAAAATGTCAGCAGACACAACGCCTTGTCCATTGTCCACAATTCGTATACGTACATATTATCCTCTCCTAACAAAGAAACGCTGAGTCATTTCGCGCCGTTATAAAGCCCTGCCCCAGAGATATTTCCCATCACTGAAGTGCAGACTGAGTTCATCCGGCCATCATAAATCCTCATTTTCGAAATTTCCTGTTGTTTCTCATTTTTCTTTCTCACATACTTCCCAGAATATCTCGGGACCCATTGTTTGAGACTTTTCCGATCCTGGTACAGTGCACCCATTGTCAATGGTCACACCGACTTCGGTCACCCTCATAATGCTTTCAATCAGGGAAATACCCAAACGCTAGTTTACGCCTACTCACATTAGCCCCACCTACTCTCTGAGATATAGGTGACAACCAGCAAACAACTCAAAGTTCCAGTCCGTGATTCGAAAGGAGTAAAAACTCTTGTGGCGGTACCGAGCTGAATCCTAGTCTGGTCGATGTGCATTAACTAACCTCACCTTACTTCGAATATACCTTCCTCCGAGGGTAAGGACCATGTAAATCTTGATGAACCATCAAACATTTACAGTTATCGAGCAAAAAAGTTATGATGATCCCACTTCTACTTCTGCTCTCATCACCATGGATGGGCATTAACGCACTTGTACGGTGAGTTTTAGGTTCAGCCTAAGTCTATTGTGGTTCCACCACGACGAACCGTTCCCTTTCAGTGTACCCATCGAAAAAACGACTCTCAGTCGAAGCTCGTATAATGTGGAAGCGATTTCTGAATATCTGAAACAGAAGTACATCAAGAACTACACGTACGGCTCCACCCATGATTTCACTGAAGGACTTTCCAATTACATGAATGTGAGAAGCCATAAATCGGCAGTAAAAAATCGTGGGATTAATCAAGTTGATTCCAGACGCAGTATTACGGTACCATCCAGATTGGAACTCCTCCACAGACTTTCAAAACACTTTTTGATACTGGCTCATCCAATTTGTGGATCCCATGCTGGAACTGCCCGCAGAGCGACGTGGCCTGTCGGAACCACGACAAAGTAGGAATTCATCAGGTGCTGTGACAATCGTCTTGTATGATCACTTGCTTATTTCAAGTTCTACTGCGATCAGTCTTCAACCTGCAACCATACGAACCAACCAATTTCGATTCAATATGGAAAAGGCTCGATGAAAGGTCACGTTGACTACGATATCGTCTGCGTGAGTTTCAAGATCTCATGGAAATGAACAGTCCTAAGCGTTATTCATGCCTTTACAGTTTGGCACGGACGAAAAGTACTGCACCGACAGCAGTCAAGGATTCGGTTGTGCAACGAAAGAGCCCGGAAACACATTCGTTGTAAGTAGAGGTTTACAGAACGTATTCAACGGCTTATGATACAGATGGTGTGATTTCAGAACGCTTCATTTGACGGCATCCTCGGTATGGCATGGGACTCAATCGCGTCGGACAGCATTCCCCAACCTCTGGATCAGATCTACGCTAACGAAGTAACGTTGCATACTTCTCATAGAACTGACAATTCGAGTCCTGACAGGGCTTCAGAGGCTCAGCGATTCATATGATTAGCTAGGCTAGCTGCCTATTACGCTCACCCATTTGGGGATAATAGTCTGGGAACAACAGGATCTAATGAACTGCATCCAAAATCGATGTTACAGTATTTGTGTCCGGAAGCCCTGGTCGCCTTCTACCTCAATCGAGATCTCCAGCACAACGTTATCGGTGGAGAAATGACTCTGTGTGGAATGGATAAGTCCCAGTATAAGGTACCCCTTTGAGGTTTGCAACAGTCAAACTGACAAAAGCTTTCAAGGGTCCAATTGTATGGGAGGAACTTACATCCGAGACATATTGGCAAATCCGTCTCAATGATGTGGCCCTCAATGGAACGTCGATTACTTCTGGACCTACCAGCGCGATCGTTGACAGTGGTACCTCACTCATTGCTGGACCACCTAGTGTTATTCAAACGGTGAGCTTGACAGAGCTTTTCTTCTCCCTGGTCTAAGACATTCAGATTTTCTAGCGCTCCCTTTACTACTTATCTTTTAAGATTCAACAAAAAATCGGAGCCGACGAAGACGGAGGGGTCGACTGCCATACTATTCCACAGCTTCCACAAATCGCTTTTATAATTAACGGCACGGAAATGATTCTTAGCGGGTACAACTACGTAATTAAGGTACAGTCTGAGTTATTTCTTTATAAGCTCAACTATTAGAACCGACAACAAGGGCTTTTACTTAGTGGGGAGGTTGTGGGTCTCCCGAACGCTTCTGGAAGAAGAATAGTCCGTTCATACCCACATGTTCGATAGGTGAGCCGAGTGATGGGAAACTGGTTTCTAAGCTGCTTTTTTTCAGTATAACGATGGCAGCTGCACATCCGGTTTTCAGAAGATAGATATCCCTGGAGGTAAGCTTGAACCATTCTAGTAAGTACTTCTAGAAGTAGGGTACTGCCTATATCTAGGACCATCGTGGATTCTTGGCGATGTTTTCATTGGTGCCTTTTACTCTGTGTTCGACCATGGAAACAAGCGTGTTGGATTCGCTGTTGCTGTATAATTTGCTCTTTTTTGGATAGCTGTACATATGTTTGTATATGTAGTGGAGTAATCCATAAAAGTTTTTGGATAGCTGTACATATGTTGAACTATTGCATGTTTACAAAACAAAGGCCGAATAATTTCACGCACTCCATCCAAATTCCGAGGCGACCCCAGAAACACATGTTCCAAGTATGAAGAGTAATGGTAACGTTTCCTTCCATGCTCCCGGGTCCCTCCGTCCCCACTGCCGTGTTCTTCAGCTCATATTCGCCATCGCTACTTCACAAGATCCTTCTCGATACTCAGCGAGCGAATTGTGTCACTGCATTAGTGCTGAAGAGAGCCAAAGGTGGTAAGTGAAGGGACCTACCGAAGTCGGATGTAACGGGTTTTGTAAGAATAACTATGCCCTCAAAGATCAACTTGCTGACTCCTTGCACCCGTAGATACTGATCGCATCCACCGATCCCGATGACAACTCGTACGCTAGTAAGCGTCCAGCAGACAACAAGTGGGATTTGTACTGAC